CAGAGCCCCCTCACTCAAGTGCTCCCATCTGGCCTCCTGACTGATGCCAGTGACCGATGCCAGGACTAAACTTTCCTTTGGTTTCTAACACAGAGAAAAGGCAAGATGCACAGATATGCAGGCTTCCCCAAAGGTCTGCTCTTTGGAGCCTGCACTCCTCCCTCAGGAGACGGTCTCAGGCAGAAACATCCTCAGTATGCCCAACATCCCTTTGGGAAGTGGGCAACAGCACAGACTTTGGAGCCAGGCTCAAATGGCTTTGAATCCTTTCTGTACCAAGTCCCAGCTGTATGAGCTTGGGAGAAGATTAACTCCTCTGAGCTTCAGCTGTCTCTGAAAATAGTAATTGCTAAACAGAGTTACTCTGAAGTTTAAAACAGGGGAAGTGTGTGGCACATACTAAACATTCAACAAATGTTGGTGAAACAAAAGATAGGAACATCTTATTCTCTCCCCGCTGCCCCGTTTATCACCCAGGAAGAGAGCAGGTTTGAGGATGGTCAGGGGCTGGGAAGGGAAACAGGTGTGCTGGAGAAACCCTGAGTGGGTGTGACACTGGATGCAAATGCTGTGTTGCTCTGGGGAATAGGGGAATGTTTTTAAAAAGAGGCTGCTGTATGGAAGAAAGGAAAAGGAGATACATGATAACACACGAGGGAGAAGACTGTTAGGGGTAGAAAATGGGGGGATTTTACTAAGTTTCTGCTGTGAAGTGTGAAAATTACAACCTTCCACCTTCCTTTGAAGAGTTCAGCAAAGGCTCCATTTTTTTTTTTTTTTTTTTTTGATCCTTACCCAAGGGTATTTTTCTATTTATCTTCAGATAGAGTGGGAGGGAGGGAGAGAGAAGGAGAGACAGAGAAACATCGATGTGAGAGGGACACATCAACTGGTTGCCTCCGCACAACCCGATCAGTGCTCAGGACGTACTGCAACCGAGGTAGGTGCCCTTGACCGGAATCGAATCTGTAACTTATTGGTCCTCGGGCCAATGCTCTAACCACTGAGCCAAACCAGCCAGGGCAAAGCCTCCATTTTTAATTGATGTACTGGGGAACTGGATCTTTTGGGGACGCAATGGGAGGCTGAGTTCGACCTCAAGTGGCCTCAAGAGTGTAGAGCACACGTGTCATGCATGGAATCGAATCGCCTTCCAAATAATGTCACTGTAGTCAGGATGATCTTGGACCAAAACTTAAATGAACAGGAACAAGAACTTGATTTAATTTCTATTTCAAGACCCCATTCCACCAAGCTGGCAGAAAACATTGACACTGGGCTTTCTTGGAGTTCTTTCCCCACCTCCCCAGTTATGTGGCACCAAGATACTGGAAAGGTGCACTTTGTCACCCATGCAAGTATGGCTGAGGGTCCCTTGCCTCTGTCAGTCTGGTGGCCCTGCCTTGGGGTAAAGACACCTTTCTTCAAAATAGCCCATGTGTGGGTTTTTTGGCACAATGTACAGCCTTTTGCTTGTTGAGTGACTATCTCCCCCCCCGTCCCCCCCCCCCACACACACACACGTAGAGCAGATAGGCGGAGGCTGGGCACAGGCTCCTGCTCTCAATACCTTCTCTCTCCTCTTCCTTCCTCCTGACATAGGACAGGATGGAAATGAAAGGGGAAATGACTTTTCCCTTCTAGTTCCAGCCATGACATTTTGTCTGTAACTCAATCCTCTCTTTTAATGATTTTACAGTCTTCTAAATCTCTCCCCACCCCATGGACACAGGCTTTGAAACAGCAATTGTCAGCTTTCCACCTGGCCACAGCTTCAATCATTTGCCTGAAAGAGGGATGGAGGCTAGGAGGAGGAGATATCTTTCTAAGTCAGTACAGATGGCCCTACATCATTCTCTGTATTTGTTGCACAGTGTTCCATAATTCCTTGAAATATCGCCCCACTTCATCGTGTCATCTTTATCGTCCTGATGACTTTCCCTGCCATGATCAATGACACACCTGATCAGCGAGATAGAGACAGGGCACTAAAGCTTGAACATCAGAGCTGGGAGACTTTTGTGAAGCTCTGCACCATGCCCTTGCCTGACAGAGGGGAGGGACCCTGCATTAGGCCACACCCACCCACTGGGCCAGTGCGTGGGGGAGAATCCAGGTTCCATAAATCCATGCCAGGTTTTCCATCCTGCAGGGAGGAAGGCTGGGAATTCCCAAAGAGGAATGAATACCCCTGCTCTGAGCAAGATCCTTGAACCTGCGCTCCTCACTGCACGCCTCATCAGAGGCTAGGAGGCAACGCTGGAGGTGGGAAAACGTGAGACCCGCGCCTCCCGGTGGAGACGTTTGTGGCTCCGTGTCTATTTCTGTTGTAGAAATAAAGGGTTTCCTGCAGCATAGGTTGCTCCACATCGATGCCTTGGGTATCTTTCCATGCCTGTATATATAACTCTACTTTATTCTCTATACTTTCCTCACAGTATTCCCCTGTATGAATAATGCCATGTTTGTTTGTTTTTAACCAACCCCCTACTGATGAGCATTTGGGTTGTTTCCAAGATCACAGTGCATGATACTGAAGTCCTTTCATGCCCTATGTGCATCTGACTCCACACTTTCAAATAACTGCAGCCACACAGCCAGCAGTGAGCCGGGTATCTTCCCTGTAAAGCTAGGTGTAAGAAAAGGCGAAATTTACCCACAGTCACACAGTGGGTTTGTGCTAGAGATGACCAACACAGTGCTCCACTCCAGCCTCCAGACCTAACACTCTGAGTCCCAGCTGAGGGTCCTTTAATAGTCCTTTATGCTTGGATTGGACCTGGCTTTTTGTTTATTTCAAATGACCTGAAAAAGGCAAGTGTGTGGGTTGTGCCAGGCACTGTGTGCTTAGTGCTAAGGAAGGGGAGAATCACTAGATAACCTTCAATGATTAGGGGGTTCCAGGGGATGAAGTAGCTGGTTGAACCATCTTCCTGGCTTACAGAGCATATTTAAACCTGTGATCTCATTATAATCCTCTGGGGCTGGTATTACTATCTTCTCCACTTATAAAAGAGGAAATTGAAGCACAGAATGGTGACTTGTCAAACACACAACTAGTGGTGGTGGATGTTGGGGACTTACCTAAAAATATGCATATTGTTATACTAAAAGGAAAAATAGCATTGCTGAAAGTGTGAAAAACTGAAATTGTAACTACAAAAATAAAATGGCAACATTGCAGAGAGTTCGAGAAAACTTGGATTAAAAAATCTTGTTAGGGGACCAGCTCATCACTCTGAACCTCAGTTGTCTCGTTTTTACAGAAAGAAAATGGTAATAATAATCACAAGCACAGCAATGGTAGGTAACATATAACTGCCCACCACCCTAAAGCAATAGCCACTTACAAGTCTGAGCTTCCCCTGCAGGCTTGCTTTCAAACATCCACATTTAATATTTAATAATCACAGTAAACACGATTTGTTTCCTCCTTTTCCCCGAAAATTATCTCACAAGTTTTTTCACTTGGCTACATGGACTCAGCAATTGCTTTTTCAGAGCCTGCATTCACCTAGATTAATGGGCTCCTGCCGCTAGTGCTAAACATATGCTGCCACCAAATTGTCACTATGTTGGCTGGAAACATCTTTCAGCTTCAGCAAGATTCCCTGAAAGTCTGAGGCTTTAGGACCCTGAGCACCTGCCCTCCCAAGCTGTTCACACAAACCACCTGCCTTATTCCGCCCCAGTGACTTCCAGGGCCTGAGGCAGAGCTGAGACCTTGCCTGACCACATCCTGAAAAGGCTCTGAGCCTCAAAGCAACCTCAGAACAGATTCAGAGGAGCTCAGAGGGAAAAGGGCTGAAAAGAGTTTCTCTTGGTGTCCCCGTAGTCCCTCCTGAGAACACAGGCATTTATGCTCCATACCCCTAACTCAGGAAATTCTTCTAAAAGCTCATTTAAAACCCCATTTGCTCTTCTTTCTTCATAAGCTATAAACTTTATTGGCCATGCACCTGTGAGAATCTCTCCAAAAACTGTGGGAGTGCATAAAATTGTCTACATTTCACCAGGTCCTTGAACTCCTTAAACCTGTCTGGATCAGATTAAGTACAGTCTAGGGTGACTATTCTCTCTCTCCATCCTTCCTGACTGTCTCCATTTGCTTTTGCTGGACACAACTCCACCAATGGCCTCTTTGCCAGCCTTGGGCCAGGATCCATTCTACCCATTCACCTGCCAGGCGCTGGGAGGTTTCAATGTATTAGGTGGATGCCTTAGGAAGATGGGAAGGGGCGGTGAGGATCTGAAGAGCTGGGTTCAAATTATGCTTCCCCACTTGTTGGCAGTGAAATCTTGGGTCAGACATGTTACCTCTCTGAACCTGTTTTCTCATCAGAAAAAAAGGGGGAGGGGAGAAATTACAACTTGCACTTAGCAAAAGTGTTGGGAAAAACCGTTTGTGTAAAGTGCCTATGAGCGCTCCACGTCTAGGACCACTGTTGAAAATATTCCAAGCACCGCCATCCAACCCCCGGCCCAAGGTAATGTTCTTCACTGCTTTTCTTGTCCTTGTGGGGTGGGGACTTGCTCCACTCTGCCCCCACCAGGACCCTCGAATCTAACTACATCTAATGACGCCCGGCCCAGGTGAGCCCACATCTCAGACCCCAGGCAGTGGGCTCACACTCGAGACCCCGAACGCTCCCACTCCAGACCCACGTGGGCCCTTCTCCTCTCTTCTGCACCCCCAACCCTTCCACCCAGATATGAGCGTGCCCACTCACCCGGCCTGCCTTCCCCCTCTTTCCAAGCGCACGCGCGCAGCGGGGCGCTCACAAAGCGTCCCCGAGCACATCTGGCGCGCGGGCCGTCACAGCTGGAACGGGGACCCAGCGTGGCCCGGTCAGTCGGGCTCCCGGCCGCCCCCCGGGCCCCGCAGACAGTGGAGCAGGACAAGGTTGCGGGGAGCCGGAGAACCGGCGGGGCGGGGCCCGCAGGGTGGGGGGCGGGGGCCTGACGGCCGGGCCGGCAGCTGAGCAGCCGGGGACAGAGGCGCGGAGGCGCGTGGAGCCAGCCGCAGCCCAGCCCGTGTCCGCCCCGCGCCGCCATGCCCCTGGCCTTCTGCGGCAGCGAGAACCACTCGGCCGCCTACCGGGTGGACCAGGGCGTCCTCAACAACGGTTGCTTCGTGGATGCGCTCAACGTGGTGCCGCACGTCTTCCTGCTCTTCATCACCTTCCCCATCCTCTTCATCGGTGAGCGCGGGCGGGAGCAGCGGAGGAGGGGAGGGCAGAGGCGGCGAGGGAGGAGGAGGAGGAAGCGCCGCGCGCCGTTCGGCGTCCCCTTGCGCCCCGCGACCGCCGCTCGTCCCCCTCCCGGGATCCCCTGCTCTGTACACTACCCCGGGTCCCCGCACTCGCACACCTGCGCATCCCCTCACTCCCCGGGGTGCCCCTGAACCTGCGTCGAACACGGCGGACGCTCCTGCCCGAGGAGACCCCCAAGTTATGCTACCTCAGGGCCGGAGCTGAGATGGGGAAAGGAAAAGGAGAGGTTTCTGTACACACTGAAAAGGTCGGGAGAGACTTGGTCTGCGCCGAGTCAGGTCACCCCTCCCCCAAGGCACCCTCCCTCTCAGCCGCAGCAGGGCCCAGGAGTGCAGCCTGCGCCCCAGAGGCGGGCATGGAGGCCCTACAAACCCCTGTGCAGTCTCTGACCGTCGCAGGGTCCCACTCGGCCTGGGAGAGAAGGGGTGAGAGCTAGGGATTTGGATCCCCTTCCCTCCGACCCCACATGGGTGCGCGTCTTCGGAGCGCAACTTCTCAGGCACCGTGCCCAGCAGCCCCTGACTTTGGACGCCAGAGGCCCCCAGCGCCCCTGCTTGAAAGCTCTCTGCAAAGTTGGGCGCCACTGCCCTGACAATCTGCGTGCCTTTTCACAGGGTCCCCTTCATCCCTCTTCAAGACCTTGAATTTCCCAAGCTGGCTAAGCTCTGTCTACTCATAGGGTGTCCCCTGTCTCCCCCAAAGGTGTTAATTCACTCTAAGAAAAAAAGCAAATCTTAAAATTCATATACAGCTTTTGGGAAGAAAGAAAATATTGTAACAAAATTAAAAAGAGCAGGATGCTGCAGAAGCAAAGAGTTGCTAGCTGTTAACAAAAAACAAACAGAAACAAGAAGGAAGCATATGCAGCATATGCTCATTGGTGTATCAAACATTATACCAGCATCTACACTTCTGTTCTCAACCAAATGGTTTATTTATGTGATAACTTATCACACAAGAGATCAGAATTTAAAATGGGCACCTGCATGAGTGGGCCTGGGCAGGTCCAGGCTTCATGCTTGAACACTTAGTTGGTGTATGCCAGACTCTGGCATCTCATGCACAGGTGTAGGAAAGGGTACGCTCCTCGCCCCCACCATGGACCCAATGCCTAAGCACCTTCCTGGAGTTCATACACCTTCCTCCCTGTTCACCAGGCTTCCCGACCTTCCTGTCTCTCCTTGCAGGATGGGGCAGTCAGAGCTCCAAGGTACACATCCACCACAGCACGTGGCTCCACTTCCCTGGGCACAACCTGCGCTGGATCCTGACCTTTATGCTGCTCTTCGTCTTGGTGTGTGAGATCGCGGAGGGCATCCTGTCTGATGGGTGAGTACCTCTCCGGGAACTCAGGAGAAGGGATCTGCTCCAGGGTGCTTCCTGAGAGGCTCAAGGAGAACCCAGCTCGCCTGCTTTCCATGAATGAGTATCATCTGCTAATAAATCCAGCAACTTTTTACCCAACATCTCTGGTGTGCCAGACTCTCTGTGCCAGGCACTGCACACAAGTGAGCCCCAGGCCCCGCTCCCAGTGGGGCAGGATAGAGGGAGCCCAGATGTGCATGCCACAAACCAGTGAAATAAGCCAAGAGTCTGAGTACCCCAACTCTATGGAAGGCACCGGCCTCTTCTACAAGCTGCTGGAATTACCTTCTTAGGGGGGAATAGCACTCTTGTTTAATTAAGATCTTTCCTTGGTTTCTAATTGTATATAATATCCCAAGTCCTCAGCCTGGCATCAGGCATCCTCACAGCCAGCTCTCCATGTCTGCAGGCGTCACCTAGAAAGGCAGGTGGGGTGGGAGAAGCGCACGGGGCTGAAGCATGAAACACAGCAGGGGAGCGAGGGGAGCATGGAGGCTGAGTGTAATCAGCGCAGCACTTTCAGGTGAGAACCCTAGGGGTTTGGAGTGAGCAAGAGCCTGGAGGTAGAAACAGCACTTAAGAGGTGATTGCAGTCGTCTAGGTGAGAAATAACAGCAGCTGGAAATGGTGTGTCAGCAGTTGGGGTGCAGAAGAGGAGGAGGTGAAGCAGCCGAGTCACTAAGGAAGAATGGAAGAATCAGCAAGATTCAGGGACTACCTGGGTGAAGGTGGTGAAGAGTGGGGCGTTTGGCTTAAATATCTGAGGTCCCACCCTCTGAGCTGGAATCAGACTATGCCCAGACTCCACTCCTGCCAGCCCTGGCGCCTGCAGCTGGATGGCAGGGGGATAGGATCCCTCGCCTCCTCACACACTCCCTCACCCCCAATGCCCCTGCATCCTGGCTTCAGTGGTAATCTCTGTGATAACTGCTCACCTGGGGGCTCCTCCTGATTATCAAAGTCCCCAGACCAGCAAGAAGACCAGAATGCATACTGCCCCCATAACTAGCAGATGACAAGTCCCCAACACCCCTTTCAAAGCACACACGTGCTAGATAGGGGAGGGATGCCTTGTGAGCCTCTAGGCCAGAAATACTCACTGGGTTATAATTAGCAGTGACAGAGAGGAAGACACTCTGCCCATAGAGAAGGTAGACCTGGGTCTTCTGCTAGCACTTCTGCTATGCACATACCAGCTGTGGGACTTTGGACAAGCCACCAGCCTCTCTTTCATTATTATGAAGTGGGCACCAGAATCCCTGCCTTGCCTGCTTCATGGAGCCATGGAGGATGAAATTAGAGCATGAACAGGGTGCCAAGCAAGGAGTGGCAGAGCCCTGGGCAGATAGCATATCCCCAGGTTGTGGGAGTCTGGAATGAATCATGTGGAAAACTCCTTCTTCTGGCTGCCCAGCATCCCCTCCTGTGTGCACTGCCCTTGTATCCCAAATCTCTCCGGCGCAGTGCAAACCGCCATCTCCTCCCCAGCAGACAGGTCAGCTCCTGAAATGGGTACTTGCTGGTCTTTCCTGGCCTCCACCTGTGGCCCAAACCCCTGAACAAGCAAATGTGAGGAAGGGGCATCAGAAAGGAGCAGGCAGGAGGAAAAGCCACAGTCCCTGCCCTGTCGCACCCCCTGGTCCATCCTGGCCTGGGTTTGCAGAGCTCCCTGGAAGTCTAGGGGGCCAGGTGGGAGTGGGAGCTGGTTAAAACAGTGGTCTTCAAACTTGACCCTAATTTAGAGTAAGACTCATTTAGTGAATAACCAAGGCATCCTTAACCTGCAGGGCTTCCTGTCTTCCTGTGGGTATTATTTCTGCGTGTGATGCCCTGAGTTCAAAACAACCAAAGCAGTATGGGTTCTTGAGGAAGCGCTTTAAAAAAATGTGAAAGTAAAATGTTTTCCCAGACCACCATATACTGCACAAAGCCCATTTGTAAAAGAAGTTTACCTAATTTCTTACCTAATTCAGTGTGTATTATTCAGTCCAGCAGCCAAAACCTATTTTATGAAGTCATGCCATAAAATAATTTATTTTGATTATGGTTATTTTTCATCTTATAAAATGTTTACAATTTCTACCTTCTATTGCAATAATAATAATAATTTATTTAAACTTAATGATGTAACCTTTTAGACATCACTTTTAAAATTAGTGAGAGAGTATAGAGTTTTTCAAAATTATATCAAGAATTCAGAGGCAAGAGTTCTGAAGACCCCTGGGCAGAGTGTTGGTTGCTCTTAGTGTCCCCACTAGTGACTGATTGCCTTGTACCCCCATATCAGTACTTTGCTTAAAATATCCACTAATCAAAGAATAAAGAATATTGACATTTACAGTCTCATTTAACAAGAAATCTGAAGGTTGCCTTTTTTAGTTGGTGTGGTGACTTAGTGATGGCATCAGGGACCCAACCTCTCCCTACCTTTTTACAGGTTCTCTGTGTTTCTGCTATATCTTCCCTCATGGCCACAAATTGGCTGCCCTAGTGGGGGTATCACTCAGGCAAGGGCAAAGAGGTCATGCTTCCCCACATGCCTCTTCCTTATGTAGATGTCCTCTGCAGGCTTTCCTGTACAGCTCATTGGCCGGAATTGGGTGATATGACCACCCTTTAGCGTGGAAGGAGAGGAGCATGCTATTTGGTGAACAGCTCACCTTGCCTCTGTGCCTGTTCCCTAGTCCCACCAGACCACCTGGGGTTTCCACATGGCTCTCCTTCTGTCCCCCCTCCTTCTCTGTTGAACTCCTGTTCATCCTTCAAAGTCCAGCCTGGTCCCCCATTTTCTGTGAATCTCCTTTGTCCACCCGCTCCTCTGTGCTCTCAGCCTTCTGTTCATCTGCAGTATCACTTCCCTCCACTGTCTGGTCAGTCAGCTCTGAGCTCGGTTGCCCACTCCCTCCTGTCAGTTTGTCCAGGGTGGGGCCATGGCGGGCTGTATAGAGGGCGCAGTGTGGGCCAGAGCAGCACCAGGGCGGAAGACGGGGGAGGCCTTCTGGCAGTGGAGGGGATCCCACCATGGCTTCAGGAGGAAGAGCAGGCTGGGCAATGCTAGAACAATGGCTGAGGCCACAGCACTGAACCTTTGGTGCTAGCTGTAGGCTTTGCGATCTATAGCAGGGAGCCTCGGAAGGGCACGATCAGGACCGAGTAAGGTGAGCCTCCACACCAGTCACGGGGAATCCTCAGACCTAGGAGACAGCTCTGGCTCCCTACGGGTCTCATCACCAAACCAGAGCCACCCACCAAGGCCTCTGCGAGTTAAAGTGGGAAGGGGATGAGCTGGTACTGGCTGCCTCCATCCCCAGCCCAAGGGAGGACACAAAAACAGTGACCTTGGCCTTGTTACTTAACCTTTCTATGCCTCCTTTTCCTCAACCATAAAATGAGGAGTCTGAGAGTACCAACTTCGTGGAATTGTATGAAGATGAAGTGAGTTAATATACATAGAGTGCTTAGAACAGTGCCCAGCACATGGTAAATGCTCAACAAATATTGACTATCAGTGTTATTATCACACCACCTGGGGGGAGAAGCAACGCTGACTTATGCTGTTCATGTTAAATGGGGCTGTCACTAAGACCGTCGTGGTGTACCGGCTCCTGCGCTGCCCAGAGGACCCTGAGGACAGACCCAGCTGTGCTCACTCCCAGAAGAGTGGTTCCAGGCCAGAGGCTCTGCAGCTGCGACTCAAGGCTGGCTTCCCTCTGCCAGATTCTCCGAGCATGAACCCAGGGAAAGAAGGCCGTGAATTCCAAAGCCTGAACACCAAGCCTTCATAGCATCTCTGTGTAGCCTCCTGGTCCCTTAGTTAACAGGCACATTTGGGGTGTAGGCTGGGCAGAGCTGCCAGCGTTTGGGGTGGAGCTGTGCCTGTGTCCAGGAGGTCCCACTGTGCGCTGAGCTCTGAGCCCAAGGCCTAGGCTGCTCTACTGGGGTACTCAGCATATCCACACCCTGTCTGTCTCTCTCTTGCCCCCATCTCAGGGTGACCGAATCCCGCCATCTTCACCTGTACATGCCGGCCGGGATGGCGTTCATGGCTGCTGTCACCTCCGTGGTCTACTATCACAACATCGAGACCTCCAATTTCCCTAAGCTGCTGATCGGTAGGGGAAGCAAAGGGGCCGGGGAGGGATAGGCACCTCTATTCGTTTCTTCAGATTACGTTTACTGAGGACCTCCTATGCTCCAGGCACTCACCTAAGTGCCAGAGGTTCAGAAGCAGAGAAGAAGAAAAAAACACCCTGTCGTCATGGAGCTTACAGACAGACAAAGACAGGAAACAAACAAACAAGTAGTGATGATGCTAGGAAGAAAATAAAGCTGGGAAAGTGGCAGGGTGACGGCAGGGTCCCTGTCTGTACAGAGAAGGCTTCTGGTAAGAGTGAGCTTACAGATATTTGGGGGAAGAATGTTCAATGCAGATGGAATAGCACATGCAAAGGCCTTCTGATAGGAAGAAATTTGGCAAAGGACTAGTGTGGGCGAATCAGATGGAAAAGGGGGAGAGTGGTAGGAGATGAGGTCAGGGGCTTTGGGTCCAAGTGCCTAGGCAAGTAGTGGTATTAATAACCGACAGGAATTGGGGTGGAGTATGGATCAATTTTTCTCTATGCATGTTGAGCTTGAGATGCGGCTGAGATGCCAATTCAAAGGTCAAATAGGCAATTACATAAGTGAATCAGAATTAGAAAAATGGGAGGTCAGGGCTGGAAGTATGCATTCAGCAATCACAGGCTTATAGGTAACATCTAAAGCTTGAGCCCGGATGAGGTCACCTGGAGAGAGAGGGGAAAGACCTCAGACCGGAACCTGTGGTTCACCAACAATTAAGGAGACTTAGGAAGGAGTGACAGCTCAGAGCTTCTGATACCATGTGGCTGGGGTCCCAAGCAGAAGCAAAAGTGATAACTGTCAACGTTTATTGAGCGTGTACTGAGTGCCAGGCCAGTGCTAAGCTTCTTCCATGCATTATCTCACTTAATCCCCACAATCTCCCTATTGCTGCTATTGCTATCCCCACTCTACGGATGTGGACACTGAAATTCAGAGGTTAAAAATGCTAACAGTGGACACTCACTTAGCACTTACTGTGTGTCAGACACTGTCCAAAGCATTTTGCATATATTAACTCATTTAATCTTTACAACAACACGGTGAAGTTAACACCACTATCATTTCCCCTTTACAGATCAGGAAAGAGAGGTTCAGAGGTTCTGTGACTTGCACTTGCCTGCCCAGCAGGGTGCTGGGAGCTGGCTCCCTAGCAGGCTCTTAACTGTTTCTGAGACTGCATGTCGGGGGTCCTGAGGCCGTATGTGGGACAGAGGTGTAAGTCCACTGGTCTGCCTCTGTGCTTGGGCTCAGTCTATATATCTAACACCGGTCTGCTCATTCATCCGTTAGGCTGTGGTCAGACTGTGTGCCATTAAGTCAGACTCTGACTTTTAGGAGTCACAGCATCTCACTGATGTCTGGAGTGTGGACCTCTCTGTACTAAGCCAGAAACAGTGCAGTATCATGAGGGGGCAGATAGTGTTTCCCAAGCTAATCACAGATCTGCCTTCCTGTGTAAGGTGGGTGCCAGGCTCTGTTGGGATCATCCAGGTGATACCCTCACCCCCGGTGCCGCATGTAAGTGTGGTTGGGGGACTAGGAAGAAGCAGGGGGAGAGATAGTAAACACGGGCTTCCTAGAGCTTCCTGCTCCAGGTTCTGAAGCAGCTTCTCATGCACAGCTAATCCCTCATTGACCACCAGGGCCTGGCTGACTGGTGCCCCTGGAAGGGTCCTGCCTGAGCATATGGTGAGTTCATTTTCTCATTCTCCGGGAAACACATAATGTTCTCTCCTTAAAACACAAATTACCGCCCTGGCCAGTTTGGCTCAATGGTTAGAGCGTGGGCCTGCGGTCCAGAGAGTCCCCTAAGGGCACGTGACTCGGTTGAAGTTTGTCCGGGTCCTGGTTGGCTCGTGCAGGTGGCGACCACTCAATGTGTCTCTTTCACATCGATGTTTCTCTGTCTCTCTCTCCCTCCCACTCGATCTGAACAAAAAATGGAAAAAAATGTCCTCGGGCGAGGATAAAAAAACACAAATTACCACCCATGGATGGCCCTGTCTTTCTCCAAGGAACAAGGCTAACTCTCTTCATTCCCCTTTGTTAGAGTTTTGCTCTCTACAGAGTCAGAAATTCTAGAACAGGGAAAAGTGGAGAGGAGAGAGAGCAACGGTTATTGGGGAATAGCTGGCCCTCTGAGGAGACTACTCTCTGATCACAGGTCTGGAGTCCCACAGAAAGGTAAACCACAGTGCATCTTACATTGTCCCGCAAAATAACCTTGATGCTGCGGCCCCAGGTGAGAGCAAGGAAATGTTCTGTGAGAAAGTCATGCTTGAGCTGAGAACTGAAGGATAGGTAGGAACTAACTAGGAGAAATGAGAGGGGAGTGCTTTGGGAGAAGTAATGCAAAGGCCCTAAGGCAGGGGACGCAAAGCACATTGGGAAATCTGAAAGAAAAAATGGTGGCTGGAGTGCAGAGCAGAACAGATCCGAATTTTGAAGACTGGCGTGGCAGTTGAGGCTCGCACTAGACAGGGCCTTGATGGCCACGCTACAGGCATTGGCCTTTACCCCAAAGGCAACGGGAAACCGCTGAGGATTGGGGTGTGCGTGTGTGTGTGTGTGTGTGGTGTAACATATACGTGACATAAATTCACCTTTTTAACCACTTTTAAGTGTGTAGCTCAGTGGAATTAAGTACATTTAGATTGTTGTGTAACCATTATCACCATCCATCTCCAAAATTTTTCATCTTCCCAAACTGAAACTCTGTACCCATTAAACAATAACTCCCATCCCCTTTTCCCCCAACCCCTCACAAACTCTGTTCTTTCTGTCTCTATGAATCTGACTACTCTAGGTACCTCGCATAATTGAAATCATACACTATTTTGTTCTTTTGTGGCTGGCTCATTTAACGTAGCGTAATATCCTCAGACTTCACCCATGTTGTAGCGTGTATCAATGCCCTTGCTTTTTAAGGCTGAATGATACTCCATTGTATGTGTGTACCACATTTTTAAACATTTTTTTTGTCTTGCCCTGGCCGGTTTGGTTCAGTGGTAGAGCATCGGCCTGTGGTCCACAGAGACCCAGGTTTGGTTCCCAATAAGGGCATGTACCTTGGTTGCAGTTTGTCCCCGGCCCTGGTTGGGTTGTGCGGGTGGCAACCACTCGATATGTCCCTTTCACGTCGATGTTTTTTTTTTTTTCTCTCTCTCTCTCTCCCTCCCACTCGATCTGAACAAAAAATGAAAAAAATGTCCTCAGTTGAGGATTAAAAAAAATTTTTTTTTGCCTTTATTGATTTTAGAGAGGGAGGAAGGGAGAGGGAGAGAGAGAGAGAAACATCGATGAGAAAGCACATTGATTGGCCGCCTCCTGCATGCCCCCCACTGGGGATCTGGCCCACAACCTGGGCATGTGCCCTGAGCAGGAATCGGACTGGCGACCTCTTGGTGCATGGGTCGATGCTCAACAACTGAGCCACACCGGCCGGGCATGTGTAAACCACACTTTGTTTATCCAGTCATCAGTCCATGGACACTTGGGTTGTTTCCACCTTTGTCTATTGTGAATAATGCTGCTGTGGAACATGGACTCCAGTGCTTTATGAAGGTAGATCGGAGGAGGGAGAGTGGGGGAGCCATGAGAAGGCTCTCAAGGAGGTCCAGGTAGACATAAGGGCAGCCTGAGCCCAGGTGGCCACCAGGATGGAAAGAAGTGAATGGATTCAAGATATTTGTTGGGGGTGGGGGAGTAAAATTGACAGAACAGAGTAATGGGTGGAATGTGGGCCTGAGAGAGAGGAAGGGGAGGAGAGAAGCGGGAGAAACGCATTCTGAGCTTAAACCTCCTCAGCAACCCCTGTTCTACCACTCTTTTCCCTTCCCCCTTTTCTCAGTCAAGCACTAAGCTTTTGTGGGGTGCTGCTGTGCCTGGCAACAGGCTGAGGGCTCGGCACTGTAGGATGGGACTGCAGAAGTAACCCTTGGCCTTCATTCTGGGTCCAATACTAACTCACTCCCCTTGTGACCTTGGACTGGACACTTAGGCTGTCTGAGCCTCATTTTCCCATCGGGACAGGAATAGTAAGTCCCTGAGTAAGTCGCAGGGTTGTTAAGGAGATCCAATCAGACCATGTTTGTTAAGTGTTAGAGGCCAGACCTGTGTGAGACGTATTGTCAAGTCTTGGCCCTAGTAGGTAACCCTCACTAAGGGTGAAAGAGGTTCTGATGCCTGGGATAGAATCTGTCCAGGGGGGTGTAGGTCCAAGCAGGGAGAAAGCCTCCAGCTATGGGATTCCTGTGACCTGGAGACCAGTCCTGAGGATGCTTCTGCCGTCTGTCCTAATGCTCTTGCCTTGGGACCTGAGATAGAGTGCATTTGCCTCCCCCAGGCAAGCGTATTGTCTCAACCTAGCACCCAGTCCAGAGCCAGGCTGGGACAGACCCCAGCTTTTGTCCCCACGAGATGCCTTGGCATTCACGCCCAGGCTCACCTAGGGATGGAGGGCTAGGTGAAGGTCTCCCTCCCTCTCTGTGGTTCCCCTAGAGAGGAGTTCTAGGGGAGTTCAGTCGACTTCATCTGCAGCTGGCTCGAGGGAGTGAGGGGAGAAGGAGCTGCCTGTGCTTTTGTTGTTGTTGTTGCCATCTGACTGTGGTTTATTGGTGGGTGGCAGTGTTGGAAATAAGAGGGTAGAATCCACTGATAGCTTCTGATGGTTATGGCCCCAGTTCTGAAATCTGGAGACAATAAAAATATTAACAGCTGATGTCCAAAGAGCACTCACCGCATGCCAGGCTCACTGCGCTAAATGCTTTTCACACATTGCTCACAACAACCTTTGAGGCAGTAGTACTATTATTATCCCTCTCTGCTACTAGCTTGCAGTGAGCTTGGGCAGGTCACCTCCTCTCTCTGGGCCTCAGTTTCCCCACCTGTAAACTGGAAGGGCAGGAATGAAGGACTGTTAAGATCTTCTCAGCCTGTGAATTCCACAAGGAAACCATTATAGGGTGGAGACTAAGGGCAGCCTTCCACTTAAGGACTATATGACCTTGGATCAGGTACCTAAGCTTTCTGAGCCTCGATTCCTTTGTCTGTTAAATTGGGGGTGTGACACAATACTTCTGTCACAAGGTTATTATAAGGAATGAATGCAATGTTTCAAGTGCGCGGCACCTACAACTTAGTTAAATTAAAGAAATAATTTTCCTATTTTTCTCACTATCATTTATTGTAAAGGGTGACCAGCTTGACTTCCAAGACTATTGTTTTTGAACATGCATGAATGTTTCATGTATGTACATCATCTCAAAATTATACACTCATATAGGCACACATTCACATCCCTTTACTCACACATGTGCACACACATCTATAACGCTTGTTCACATACCTCCTCCGGCACACCCATTTCTCTCCTTCTCTCCCACACTCTTGCACACACATGAGGGCACACGCACACACACACACACATACAAACTGTGCATACACACATCCTCTGTGTTCTCTGTCTCTCCTCCACAGCCCTGTTCATCTACTGGACCCTGGCCTTCATCACCAAGACCATCAAGTTTGTCAAGTTCTATGACCACAACATCGGCTTCTCGCAGCTTCGATTCTGCCTCACGGGGCTGCTGGTGATCCTCTACGGGATGCTGCTGCTCGTGGAGGTCAATGTCATCAGAGTGAGGGTAAGCAGGCCAGTCCTGGGCTGCCACCCACCAGAGGATGCACCTGGGCTCGGGTGGGGCTTCTGACCAGTGTGGTGCCCCATCCTGCTTCTTAGCCAAGTCCTGAAAGAAGTCAGCTTGTTTTATCTGCCTCACAAAGGGGAGTCGCGGCCAGTGTTGGAAGCTTCAGAAGCATCCTTCCATCTGGCCAGCTGCCCAGAAAGAAAGAAGACAGGATGTGTTAGCAAGGTTGTAGGATTCGGGGCTTAACCCCACAGAGAGCTTTAGGTACTGGCTTCTCTGAGTTCGTTTGGGGAGGCTGGGGGGTAAGGATGCTTATTTTTATTTTGATGTGTACACATAGTTACACATATACACGGATGAGTAAATGTAGCTGCGTTCATGTCTTTTGTTATCATTTGTGCTCGCCCCCTTTTCCTCTCTAGGACTTAGCCCCTCCCCTCCCCTCCCTGACCTTCCCTTCCCCAGGTAACCCAGATTAACAGCCTCGTATGTGTCCTTCTATTCTTTGTTTTTATTAATATAATACCATAAACTTCTATCTATGCACAGTTTTTTCTCTTAATATTTATTTTATAAAAACGAGATCATATTATACAGTTTTCTATATCTTGCTTTTTGCATCCAACAGATATCTCTTAGGACTCCCTCCAAATGTGGAAGGGCTAATTTAGTTTTCTTAATGGCTGCATAATATTCCATCATGTGGTTGAGCCATAATTTATTAGCCATTACCCTATTAATGGGCACTCACTTTGTTGCCAAGTTTTTGCCTCCACAAATAATGGTATATTAAACATACTTACTATATCCTTATGTATTGCTGCTTTTATTTCTATGGGAGAGAGTCCAAGGAGTTAAGTTGCTGGTTCAAGCGCTCTGTGTATTTTAAATTTTAATCGATGCTGTGGATCACCTTCCAGAAAAGCTGTCATCTACCAGCAGTGAATAAGAAAACACTTTCCCTCCCTCCCACCAGTAGTGGGGGTTATAGCATTTCTAATTTGGGCCCGTTCGATGAGTGTGAAATGCTACCTCAATTTGCATTTCTCTGACTCCTCTGCTTTTAGTTGATTTGCAGGGTACAGAGTTTTTCTACATTGCCTGCCTCAACCGCCCCTCATAGCACCCCCTGTGATGCAAGTACTGTCCCCATTTTAGACGAGGAAACATTTTAGATAAGATTTGACACAAAATCTAGCAAGTCGAGAAGGCAGGATTCTAATCCAGGTCTGCATGGCTCCATGTTCTGGAAACCCTACATGGTGATATCTTCGGATGTGTGGAGAAGACAACATATGGGAGATCTCTGCTCTTCCTCAGTCTAACTTGAACCCAACCCAGCCAGCCCTGGGGATTCAGAGTAGCCCTCAGGGAAGAGTCAGGAGGCTCTGCATTGGTGGCCAAAAGGATAGGGTGTCCCTTTTCCTGAAATATACAGACGATGGCCCCATCTGTTAGAGGTCAAGGGTGAGATGTTATAACCCCAGATCTTTGCTGTGGGGGCAAACTGGAGAATGATGAGAAGTTGCACTTACCCATTCCCAGTGGCCTGTGTGCCCCACAGAGATACATCTTCTTCAAGACACCGAGGGAGGTGAAGCCCCCCGAGGACCTACAGGACCTGGGGGTGCGCTTCCTGCAGCCCTTCGTGAACCTGCTGTCCAAAGGCACCTACTGGTGGATGAACGCCTTCATCAAGACTGCCCACAGGAAGCCCATTGACCTCCGAGTTATCGGGAAGCTGCCCATCGCCATGAGGGCTTTGACTAACTACCAGCGGCTGCGTGAGGCCTTCGACGCCCAGGCGGTCAGTGGGAGCATGGCCACACTATCCACTCCCTGCCCTCCAATTTAGAGTCACAGATGGGAACCTCAGAAAGCATCAGGTCAAACCCCTGGTGGGACAGGTGGGGGAAACTGAGGCCCAGGGAGGGGAAGAGGCTTGCCCTAAGTTACACAGTGAGCCAGGGACAGGCCCAGAACAAAAGATTCACAGGTCAGTCACAGCTGGAATGGCCCTTATAGTTTAGATATTCTGGTCTAACACCCTCATTGTCCAGATAGAGAAACTGAGGCCCTGAAAGGGAGGTGACCCCACTGGATACACGTCTGCCCCGTGCTCTTTATTCTGTCGCTCAGTGATTAAAGGTGGGGATTTTCACCCATTTTGGAGAGCAGGGGTGTTAATGACCTGTTCCTTACCATAACTGAGTTTGGCCAGGTAAGGATCTCCCCATATCCCTGGGGAGGAAACTGAGGCCCTGAGAAAGGCCATGAGCTCCTCAGAGCTGGACCACTGCTGGTAGGTATGAGAGCCAGTCTCCTGACTCCCAGGCCGGTGTTCCTTCGCTGCCTCCGCCCTGGCGCGGGGAACACTAAGGCAGGTGTGCTGGCCGGGGCCAGCGAGTGAATGTGGCATATGCCACTCCCTCATTACAGTGCTGTGCTCACCAAATAGTCCCTGACCAGCTGTGTGACCTTGATCAATATTCTGGCCTCAGTGTCCCCATCTGGACCATGTGGCATTGATAGGGCCCACTCAGTTGTGCACTTGGTGGTTCCAAGGTTTCTTTCTGGAGTTCACCGCAGACATGGCCACTAGGTTTCCCCAGGCAGCAGGATCCAGGGGCTTCCTGGGATGCCAGGCCCTGCTGTGAATGGGCCCTCGGCCACTCTGACCTGGCCATGGATCTCTCTGAGCAGCGGAAGGACACGCAGAGCCCACAGGGCGCCCGGGCCATCTGGCGGGCACTCTGCAATGCGTTTGGGAGACGCCTGGTCCTCAGCAGCACTTTCCGCATCTTGGCTGACCTACTGGGCTTCGCCGGGCCCTTGTGCATCTTTGGAATCGTGGACCATCTTGGGAAGGAGAACCGTGTCTTCCAGCCCAAGGTAGGCCACCCAGGGGTGGAGCAGGGCACCCTTTGGAAGGTTTGCCCTGGTGGACAGGAATGTGCCGCTGTGTGTGAGCTGTGGCTGCAGTAGGGCGACTCCTCACACATGCTCAACATTGTTCCTCACTTGGCAATATCTCCCATCCAGAAGATGCTCTGTATCAGTCAACAGAAAGGCCAGGAGGCAAGCTTGTGCCCCAGGAGGATTTCTGGCTCCCTGCTCTCCTCACAACACCATCACCACCAAAATACCTCTCTCGGTTACTTAGTCATTGAGAAAGTTGCAGGAAGTGAATTTGTTTACTCAGTGTCAAGAGCTTTTATGGTTTGTTGGCTTTTAGTTCGTGTCATCCTAATGGACTCTCAGTGCCTTTTCAGGGATTTGTCTTCCCCGCACTCAAGGTCCTGCAGGGGCACCGTGGGGACTGCTGTTGGGGGAAGGAGCGTGGGAAACCCATGCATGGGGCTTGTTCTCCCCCTATTCCCAAGTTCATTCAAAGCTGTCCCAGTTTTATTAAGATGTTAGACTTTCCCATAGAATTTCTTTTGAAAAAAGAGTTCCATGTCTTAAAAATATTTGAAACCCATTGGACTAGGTGATATCCACTGGCCTTTCCAGCTCTAAAGATGCTACACAATGAAAATTGTTGGACAAACGAGACAGAAAGTCTTCTGGGGCGTTATTCTCTCTGCTGGACACAATAGCATTCACCATAGAGTGGGAGAGGGTGGGCTACTTAATTCTTTCACCTGTTTCTTTGCTGCCACTTAGATTTAAGATGGCCACAAAATGAAAAACTTTCCACCTCTCATAAGACCCAGTGTTTTATTTTCCCAGAAAGAACATCATTATAATCTTTTAACCACAGTCTAAAAATGATGCAGAGAATTACTAATTAGAGATCTTAATAATTTATGGTACTCCCTTGTGCAATATAATTCATCTCGAGACCTTCAAAATCTCAGGTAGCATTTAATTTTCAGGAGGTTTATATTAATTTTTTTTTCGTGAGCTATAATTAATCAGCTGAGCACTTTTGGTCAGGAATGTGAGACTAAGTCCATTTGCCTGATTTATTCAGCAAATGTTTAATGAACCCTAGGATGTGTCAGACCTGGGTTTAGGCTGTGGGAATACAGAGACAATGGTTATGATGAGGACGATTAACAATAACAACCATTTATTAACTTCTTACTGCATGTCTGGCCATGTATAGGAGTTATCCATGTGTTATCTCATTTAATTCCAAAACAACCCTTTAGGGTAACTATTTTTTTGTAACAGCTTTATTGAGATATAATTCACATACCATACAACTTAGGTGTGTTTTTTTTTGTTTGTTTTTTTTTTTATCCTCACCCGAGGATATTTTTCCATTTTTTGTACAGATAGAGTGGGAGGGAGAGAGAGAGAGAAACATCGATGTGAAGGGACACATCGAGTGGCTGCCACCCGCACGACCAACCAGGGCCGGGGACAAACTGCAACCGAAGTACGTGCCCTTAGCGGGAACCGAACCCGGGTCTCTCTGGACCGCAGGCCGACGCTCTAACCACTGAGCCAAACTGGCCAGGGCCAACTTAGGTGTTTTTATCCCCATTTTACAGTCAGTAACTTGAAGCCCAGAGAGATCAAGTAATTTTCCTTAGGGCCTTTCAACTAGTTAGGGACAGAGACTGGATTTGAACCAAAGTCTCTTTCACTCTCTAGTTTGGGCACTTACAATTATGATGCTAAATGGACTATTATAATTACTATTATCAAGTCATCACCTCTGGCTCCAAGAATTGTAAAATCCAATGGAGGAGAGAAAAATCTAAATAAAATATTGTTATACTACATGTTAAATACTACTCTTAGGAGGCATATATAGGGAACTAAGAGAAAATGGAGTGACAGATTCAGCTAGTATTCATGACAGCCTCATAGAGGAAGGGGTATTTGCTTTTCTAGGCTTCATCTTTTTTAAACTGTCTCTTTGAAGAGAGATGAAACAATGATCTCATGATTTATACCTGCAGGGAGATTTTTATTTTAACAGGTCACAAAATTCTTGATCCAAACAAATACTGTTTCTGACCCTAAAGTGTGTGTGTGTTGCAGGGGGGGGAAGGGTGAAAGCCTTGCATTTACATCTACAAAAAGGAGAATGTGTTGCCTTGTTAAAAATGTACAAATATGGATGAGTCCATTTAACAAATACTACCGATAGCCTAAGCAACATTTGTGATCCATTTATTTTTTCTAGCCCTCCTTCTCCACCCGATGTGTCTTCTGATCATTGTGACATAGCACATGTGTGGCATTCTATGCTGCTCAAGAGCTTTCATGATGATCAGTGTTCTTGGGTGGTCGCACCCCCATGAGTATCATAATACACCTGACAATTCCCTGTGGTTTAGACATTTACAGGGATGTTTGCCCCCCCCCCCCCCCCTGCTCTAATCCAGAGATACACGTTTTTGCACATACAGCCATTTCTTTATGTTAAATTATTTTCTTTGGAATGAATTCCCATGATGTGCTTTGTTACGTTAAAATAATGAACTCCACTCTCCAGAGCTGGGTCTCTGCAGAGAACAGTAGAACAGAAGAATCCCCTGCATGCCTTCATCTTTGACTCAGATCCAGCCAAGTGGGCATGTTTCTCTCCCCGACAAGTCGCAAGCTTATAGAAAACTCAAGGTCAAAGGCTAGATGACCTAAGCATTAGGTCTGGGGGTACTCTTTTCAGTGTCACACAGATCCATGTTCACATATTCTTCTGTACAGCATGTGGCCTGGGTCCAGCCACTTAACTGTGCTGAAACTCCATTTCCTCATGTATAAAATTGGGCTAATAATGCTACCCTTCTCATTAGGGTTTTAAGAGGATGGAGTTCTGCACCTGAAAAATAGTGTGTCCTGACCCTTGCTTCCCTGTAAGGTCAGGTTTACCCCCCCACTACCCACCCTGCAGCCTAATTTTAAGGTCCATTTGCTGCTCTCTGCCCACCCCCACCCACTACCTCCTCCTCTCCCTCTGGTACTTGGACAAATGAGAAGGAGAGTCGGTTCAGGGGCGTCAGGCCTCAGTCAGCCTTCCTCTAAGAGTCCTGCGTGTATCCCTCAATGGTTTCCCTGTGTCTGCTTCCTACTGCTGCCCAAAGGGAGAGACCCTGTCCCACAGGGCAAGGAAGGAACAGTTGTCAGCAAGACCAGCTCCACGGAGCAGTGAGGGCTGGTCTGAAGAGTCCTGTTGAACCAGAAGGCAGTGTCATTTTTGACCATCAGGAAGCCCCGTATCCAGGATCCGGGAATTTCTGACTCCAGGGAAAGGACTGCACTCAGAGTCCTGCCCCTTTCAGCCTGCTCGTGGTCAGGGCCATGCCCTCGGCTCCTTCTCACCACTTTGTTCCCAGCGCGCTCTCCCCTGCGGCGGCTCCCACACCCCTCCAGATAGCCGGCAGTGTTCAGGCAGAGCCTCAGAACGGGACAGTTCCGTCTTCATGGAAATATGGATGTGGCTCTGTTGGGGAGCAATGAACTTAACCAAGATCAAAGTTTTCCTGGGAGTTCTCAATGCTGAACTTGGAAGCAGACATGCTGCTGTTCCCTGGTATCTTCGCAACAAAGTCAACATGGTTGTTTGTTTTTTCATTGTTTATCATCTGAGATCTTGCTAGAGGGTGCAAGAGAACCTAACATTTAAAAGGAGGCCCTGAGAGCCCACGAGCGTGGGGGGCCTGGGCCAGAAATCCTTTGAGGGAGACGTTCCCACCTCACTGGGAGCACTGCCCTGCCACGGTTTTCGCTGGTCTTTTCTGCCCAGACATTACTACAGAGCAGGCTGTTGGTGAGTGTGGGACAGGCCTCCCCGATTCCAGTTTTGTAGCAGAGAACACACGTTGTGGGATTTGCTCTAGCGGTTCTGGTTTTGGCTGCTCTGTGATTCATTCTGTTCTTGTTCCATTCAGCATGAGCTCCTTTGGGCTTGGTGGCCACAGCACTGAAGTCATATTCATGGGCTTGAGGTTAGAACTGGGCCGCATTCTGTTCCCCTACGCGGGATGTGGAAGAGGGCAGAGGCAGCCCTCTCTGTCGTTAGAAGAATGTGTAGTGGGATTCATCAGTCTGATTTTTCACTCATGAACAATCGCACAAGGCTTTGCGAGCATGGCGGGTCCTGTGATGATGGCACAGTGACAGGTACGAACAGCAGCCTTTTTGCTGGCAGTGACAGCCACTCTGAACTTCTCTTTCCAACAGACACAATTTCTCGGGGTTTACTTTGTCTCATCCCAAGAGTTTCTTGCCAATGCCTACGTCTTAGCTGTGCTTCTGTTCCTCGCCCTCCTACTGCAAAGGACATTTCTGCAGGCTTCCTACTATGTCGCCATTGAAACTGGAATTAACTTGAGAGGAGCAATACAGGTACTTGGACGATTATTTTATTTCACTTTACAGTAAGAACCACATGACTTGTCCTCATGGACACCCAAGGATAATTCTGCTGTGAATTTATTTTTCTGTGGCTCTTTAACCCTGATTTGAAACAATGACACACTGACAACACAGTGTGGGATAGTGGAAAGCGCCTTGGACGGGACTTAAGAAAGGTAGTAGTTCAAGCCCTGGTACTGCCTTGGACTAGATCCCTGATGTCAACTCCTCAACCCCTGGGCCTCCGCGTTTTCCAGCCTTGACTGGGACCGGCATCCCTAATCCATCACAGCAGTCTCTCCTGCCCAAGGCAGGTGCAGCCTCAGACCTTCTCTCGATACTATTCCAGTGTTCCGCTGCCAGGCAGTCTTCTTGGAGTGCAAAACAGGAAACATGTTTGACATGCCAGGACTGGAGAGCCTCTAAGACCTATTGGAGATCTTAAATCTTGGGTCATAATAAGAGTTATCTGATCTGTCAGAGAAAGACAAGTCTCACATGATCTCACTTATTTGTGGGATATAATGAACAAAATAAAGTGATGAACAAAATAGACCCAGAGACATAGAAGTAGGGTTCAGACTGACAAACTTCAGAGGAGGGGGCGGGGGGTAGGGAAGAGATAAACCGAAGAACTTATGCATATAAGTATAACCAACAGACATAGACAACAAAGCTGGGGTGGGGGGAGTTGGAGGAGGGTGTCGATGGAGGAAAAAGAAGAAATATCTGTAGCAAAAAGAAATTAATTCCATTTTTAAAAATGAGTTATCTGATCTGATGGGTCCCTTGGGTCTAGCTTCTTGCTGCAGCCTTCTGCAGATTCCTTCTCGGGGTCCGTTGGAAGAATGATCAAAGTCGGAGGATTCAGGCCCCTTAGGCAAGCTGGTGATGAGAGCTGTAGAAGCCCCAGTGTTGTTATTAGAATCTTGGCTCAGCATTTGGAATGAAGAGACCCAGTATGACAGTGGTTTACATAAGATAGAAGTTTGTTTTTTACAGTCAGTCAGGGCTGGTATGATAGCGACATAGTCATCAGCGACCTTGGTTCTTTCTAGACTGTTGCTCTGCCAGCCTTCTCACATGACTTTTACCTTGTGGTTTAAGATGACTGTTGAAATTGCCACTATCCTGTCTACATTTAACCCAGCAGGAAGAAAGATGGAGCAATAGGAGGGAATCCTGACTACCTTTACATCATAATGCAGAGGTTGCACATATCCTCTTCCCATTAGTGAGGCATCGCCCACATGGCCATACCTAGAGAGGCTGAAAAGTGGGTTCTTTCATCTTGACATATGCCCTGCTAGAAATTCTTCCGGTGAAAAGGAGAGGATGGATATGGGGGACAACTACAGATTCTGCCATATCCAGCAATTCCCATGAAGTCAGTACAACACTAGGAAGTTGTGATTAAACCGCAACTGCCCAACTGCCTTGTTCTCTAGAAATGTGCCTCAGCATCATTAACATTGACTGGTCCTCTGGGAGCCAGGATCAGAGGCTTTGTAAAAGAAAAAAAGGGGGGGACTGAAAGGAAAAAGGGATAGCCTGGGTTGGGGACAGTGTCCGGGTCCAAACTCTGGTTGTCTTGGTGTAGTCCATGTGCACGGCGCCCCCCTGGAGTTGTATAGTGCATGATCTGAGCAGCTGCCCATCCCAGTGGTTTTTCATTGAGGAAACAGAGCCATTTCTTCAGGAATGTCATTATGTGAGAAGGGTGGAAAGAGCCCAGGAAAATCCAAGGCTGTCTAAGACGCACAGGGGCTCAGAGTTAGAACCATTGCTCAGTTCAGAAAACCTCTCTGCAAATCCCAGCCTCTGCTCACACCCCTCCAGGGACAGGCAAATGTGCACCCACAACCAACAGCCAAGTCTGTAATCAAACAGTTTTGTAATTAGATCTGCTTTCTATTTGTATGTCATAACTCACACTCTGGCCCAGTATTTTCCAATCACACTGAAAGAGGCAAAAATATTTGTTTAATGTGTTAGTATATAACTGTTTTTACCAATCCATCTGAACCTTTTGCATCAATAAGAGATCAATTCATATGTCACAAAAAGAAAATGTTAGCATTAATTATGAAAACAAATTAGATAAAAATGTCTTTCTTTCAGAGGTTTACAGAAAATTATAGACAAGAGTCCATGTCTTCATGAATTTGAGAGTCATCCCATTTCTTGCATGAAAAGTTTTTAAGCAAAGTTTCGGTGTTGCATAATTTTTTGATCTATGAGCTTACAGTTGGTTGTATATTTCTGTATATTTTGGTCTTTACTTAATAATGCTTTCTTCGATAGATTATATGTTTCTACTTCACTGGAACTAGGTTTATTATTATTCTTTAAAGACCGATTTCACAGAACCTAGTATGTACATTGACCTGTCAAAAAATGTCATTGCCGTTATTTTCAACCTTACCCATGGTGTACGTAAACTCACAAAAAACACATGGAATAGGTTTATGCTTTAAGCTCACCTGGCCCACAAAAAAGCCTGGGTTTACACAAAAGGTGAATTAAGTTCTGGGAATCCGCCTTACAACAGAAGGCACAATAGAATTTCATTCGAGAGCAGGCACCCCTAGGATATTTTAGACAGGAATGTATTTTTCCTTTTTTAAGTGCACAGAGCCTGAAAATTGCCATCTTTCTGGGAGGCACAATCACTCTGCACGTACAGCTGTTAGGTTCAGAGCTCATGGGGAGCCATTACCGTGACTGTTCCCATCTGCCTGCAGGGGGCAGAGCAAGGTCCCCAGGGTGGCTAGACTCCAGGACGGAACTGGGGTCGATGGACATTCATACATTGTATCTCACAGAAGACCATTCCAAGCTGAGCCCTTGTTTAGTTTCAAGGCTCAATGAAGCCAGGACTTGGCCCCAGATCATACCCCTCCCCCTGGGTGGAGATGGCTGCCCTACTCTGTCATTTTTATGGCTCTGAAGTATGCTCTCTACTGGCCTCTGGTAAATCAAGAATAAACTGGACATGAAGATCTGCTTTTAAGATTTAAGAGCTAATTAAGTCCTGTCCCCAAGGGAGAGGCCTTGCTTGCTGGGAAAGAAACTTGCCATGCTGGCGTGGCTTCCTCGTTTGAAGGCTGCCCTCTGACTTGCTGGACCGCCGTCAAAGCCCTTCCCTCTCTGAGCCTTAGTTGCCTCCTTTGTAAAAGTGGAACAGCCATGCAGTGGAGCACAGATGGAAATGTCTAAAAAGCCCCTGCACAGTGTAGACATGTGGCATCTGGAGTGGTGATTAGAATGATGATGACAAATGTGAAATATTCCGCTCTTGTTTCTAGACCAAGATTTACAATAAAATTATGCACCTGTCTACCTCCAACCTATCCATGGGGGAAATGACGGCTGGGCAGATCTGTAACCTGGTTGCCATCGACACCAACCAGCTCATGTGGTTTTTCTTCTTGTGCCCAAACCTCTGGGCTATGCCAGTACAGGTAAGGGATGCATGCTTCGGTGGGGAGTGGGAGAAGGGGCACCAAACCAGAATCTGCTGGTATGTGCTCAATGACTAGGAGTTCACCATCTTCCTTTGCATGTTTGCCTGTACCTTCCACCCCCCTGGGGTGGCCATGGGAGTACCCCTGGGTCCCTATACTATCTCACACTCTGCAAGCATCTAGCCATCTCTCTTGATGATCAGAGAAGGTAGTGCCATTAAGACTTTTAAAATGCAGCTTAAACTTTAAAAACCTTAAAAAAAAAGAAAAACTATAGAATAATCATACATGGAGCACTTGTGAACTTTAAAAGTTATGTTGTAGCGCCCTGGCCAGTTTGGCTCAGCATTTAGAGTGTCAGCCCACAGACCAGAGAGACCTGGGTTTGGTTCCTGCTAAGGGCACGTACCTCAGTTGCAGTTTGTCCCCGGCCCCAGTTAGGGTTGTGTGGGTGGCAGCCAGTTGATGTGTCTCTCCCACATCGATGTTTCTCTCTCTCTCTTCCTCTCTTTTCCCTCCTGCTCTATCTGAAATGAAAAATGCCCTCCGGTGAGGATTAAAAAAAAAAAATTATGTTGTAGCAAAGCACTTAATTACACTGAAAAGTGTTCTGATATATTTTAAGCAAAAAGTAAATTACAAAATAGTATGTGCATATACTCCCTACCAAAGTGGAATATATGCATGTATACATTTGCACAGATTCACACAGTCAAAAGAAATAGAAGGTCGCCTGGTGGGATTTCAAGTGATTTTTATTTTATTCGTGCATTTCTAAATTCTCCAATAAGCATCTGTTACTTTTGAAAATCAAACACATGATTGTTTTTAAAATCAAAACCTTTGAGACTGGCTCTGAAGGAGGTGCATTCTCCCCACGCTATAGTAGAAGAATCTTGGACGTGGTTTACCTGACTCCTGGCCTCATCTGCCCTGACTCCCATCTTCCACCAGGGAGTCTATGATTCTGTCCTGTACCTGGGAATGAATCTTCCCTCGGGAGCTCAGGCCAGAAGCAGAAATCCCAGACCCATTCCCACAGGGCCTGCTAGCTCCTGGGGGCTGCCAGGTATAGAGGAAAGTGTCTGGACTTGGATGAGACAGGCTGATTCAGATAACCTCTCTGAGCCTCAGTTTCCCCATCTATGATTCCCACCCTCTGAGTTGCTATGATGATTCAATTAGAAGATGTCAGTGAAGCCCTGCTCAGCTCAGTCACTAAGTGAATGGCATGTCCCTCTAACGAGTACACTTTGGTGTGAGTGAGGACTGGACCGTCCAGAATTCACAGCTGCTTGGGAGGCACAGTCCATAACCCTTAATCTCAAGTGATTTGTATCAGTCCTGCTTACCTATAAAGCTCATATTTTAAAAGACATCAAAGGAAATACGAGGAGAGGCTCACACCGGGAGGCAGCTAGACAAAAGACAAGTAGGGCAGAGAGTCTGGTGGTTCTTTTTACGGGAACAGGCCTAGAAGCCGTCCCCCATTACCACTTACCCACACCAGACCCCTGTGTCCCCTTCCGCTCTGCTAAGAGTTTGTCCTAAACCAGCTTCATTGTTACCGTTATTATTTATCATATTTCTTGCACAGGCATCATTGCTAATAATACTAATGAATACTAATAACCCCTGCCCTGTGTCTGGCCCTACTTCAGCCTCTCTCACTTGCATAATTAACTCTCACAACACTAGGGGATAGGGGGAGGAATTTTTATTTCCACCAACTACTTACCTTTGCTTATATATGATGAAGTGTTATTTGGTTTTCCATTTTTAATTCCTCATAGACTGTACCTTTGCCACTTAGAGCTTTGACCAGCCCTCAGGACCCAGTGTTGCCACTGGAGTTCATGCAATCCCTTCAACCCGGTCAGGACTCTGTGTGCAGCCTGGCTGGCCACAGGGCACGTGAAGATTTTGATGATGTTGAAATTAGCTCAGGAACCCCATTTTTTTATCCACAAGGGCTCTCCCTGGGTTGCATCTTTTATTGGTCACGTAAACTTCTTTTTAGTAACAGCTTTATTGAGATATAATGCACCCATTTATATTGTACAACTTAATGGGCTTTAGCATAATCACAGGGTTGTGTAATCATATTAGAATTTTTTTTTTTTTAAATTTTTATTTATTTATTTTTTTTTTTGTTACAGATATTTTACCTTTTTACCCCATTGGCACCCCTCACCCCACCCCCCCACACCCTGTCCCCGGCTTAGTTGTCCATGTCCATTGGTCATGCATACATGCATATAAGTTCTGTGGTTTATCTCTTCCCACCCCCCCACCCCCCATCCCCTCTTCTGAGGGATGTCAGTCTGTGCCCTACTTCCATGTGTCTGGGTCTACTGTATTCCTCAGACTGTTATGTTCATTATATTCCGTATATAAGTGAGATCATGTGGTATTTGTCTTTTTCTGCTTGGCTTCTTTCACTTAGGATAATACTTTCCAGGTCCCTCCATGTCGTCTCAAAGGATAAAAGATCTTTCTTTCTTACCGCTGCATAGTATTCCATTGTGTATATGTACCACAGCTTTTTGATCCATTCGTCTACTGGTGGACACTTGGGCTGTTTCCAGATCTTAGCTATTGTAAATAGTGCTGCTATGAACATGGGGTACATATATTCTTCCTGATTGGTGTTTCAGGCTTCTTAGGGTATATTCCCAGCAGTGGGATCACTGGGTCATATGGAAGTTCAATTTTTAATTTTTTGAGGTAGCACCATATTGTTTTCCATAGCGGCTGCACCAGTCTGCATTCCCACCAGCAGTGTATTAGAGTCCCCTTTTCTCCACACCCTCGCCAACACTTGTTGTTTGATGATTTGTTGATGGCGGCCATTCTGACAGGTGTGAGGTGATACCTCATTGTTGTTTTAATTTGCATCTCTCTGATGATTAGTGATGTTGAGCATTTCTTCATATGTCTCTTGGCCATTTGTATGTCCTGTTTGGAGAGGTGTCTATTCAGCTCCTCTGCCCATTTTTTAATTGGGTTCTTTGTCTTCCTTTTGTGGAGTTGTATGAGCACTCTATATATATTGGAAATTAACCCCTTATCTGATACATCATTGGCAATGATGTTCTCCCATACAGTGGGTTGCCTTTCCATTTTGATGATTGTTTCTTTTGCTGTGCAGAAGCTTTTTAGTTTGATGTAGTCCCATGTGTTCATTTTCTCCTTTATTTCTGTTGCCTTAGGTGATGTATCAGTGAAAATTCTGCTCCGTATGATGTCCGAAATTTTGTTGCCTACATTTTCTTCTAGAATTTTTATGGAGTCACGGGTCACATTTAAGTCTTTTATCCATTTTGAGTTTATTTTTGTGTATGGTGTAAGTTGATGGTCTAGTTTCATCTTTTTGCATGTAGCTGTCCAATTTTCCCAACACCATTTATTAAAGAGGCTGTCTTTACTCCACTGTATGCTCTTGCCACCTTTGTCAAATATTAATTGAGCATATTGCCTTGGGTCCATTTCTGGGTTTTCAGTTCTGTTCCACTGGTCTATATGCCTGTTCTTGTGCCAGTACCAGGCTGTTTTGGTTACAGTCGCTTTGTAGTATATCCTGATATCTGGTATTGTGATCCCTCCAACTTTGTTCTTCTTTTTCAAGATTGCTGTGGCTATTCGGGGTCTTTTTTGGTTCCATATGAACTTTTGAAGTATTTGTTCTAGTTCTATGAAATATGTCGTTGGTATTTTGATGGGGATTGCATTGAATCTATAGATTGCTTTGGGTAGTATGGACATTTTAATTATGTTAATTCTTCCAATCCATGAACAGGGTATGTGCTTCCACTTTTTTATATCTTCCTCTATTTCTTTTTTCAATGACCTGTAGTTTTCTGCAAATAGGTCCTTTATTTCTTTGGTTAAGTTTATTCCTAGGTATTGTAATTTTTTTTGGAGCGATGGTAAATGGGATTGTTTTTTCAGTTTCTCTTTCTGTGAGTTCATCATTGATGTACAAGAATGCCGTTGATTTCTTGACGTTAATTTTGTATCCTGCTACTTTGCCAAATTCATTTATTAAGTCTAATAGATTTTTGATGGAGTCTTTAGGGTTTTCTATGTACAATATCATGTCATCTGCAAATAATGACAGTTTCACTTCCTCCTTTCCAATTTGGATCCCTTTTATTTTTTTTTCATGTCTGATTGCTGTGGCCAAGACTTCCAGTACAATGTTAAATAAGAGTGGCGAAAGTGGACATCCCTGTCTTGTTCCTGTTCTTAATGGAAATGTTTTTAGTTTCTGTCCATTGAGTATGATGTTGGCTGTAGGTCTTTCATATATGGCCTTTATAATGTCGAGATATGATCCCTCTATTCCTACATTGCTGAACGTTTTTATCAGAAATGAATGCTGGATTTTGTCGAATGCTTTTTCAGCATCTATTGATATGATCATGTGGTTTTTATTCTTCATTTTGTTTATGTGGTGTATCACATTTATTGATTTGCGAATATTGTACCAGCCTTGCATCCCTGGAATGAATCCCACTTGGTCATGGTGAATAATTTTTTTGATGTATTTCTGGATTCGATTTGCTAGTATTTTGTTCAGGATTTTGGCGTCTATGTTCATCAGGGATATTGGCCTGTAGTTTTCTTTCTTCGTAGTGTCTTTTTCTGGTTTTGGAATTAGAATTGTGCTGGCCTCATAGAACGTGTTTGGAAGTCTTCCTTCTTCTTGAATTTTTTGAAATAGTTTGAGGAGAATGGGTGTTAGTTCTTTTTTGAATGTTCGGTAAAACTCCCCCATGAAACCATCTGGGCCTGGGCTTTTGTTTGCTGGGAGAGTCTTGATTACCTCTTCAATTTCCTTAGTTGTTATTGGTCTGTTCAAGTTTTCTATCTCTTCCGGGAATAGTTTTGGGAGACTGTGTGTTTCTAGAAATTTGTCCATTTCGCTGAGATTGTCGAATTTGTTGCCATATAGTTGTTCATAGTAGTTGTTAACGATCTTTTGTATTTCCGTG